CACAGACCGCGAGATCATGACCTGAGCCGAAGTCGGCCACTTAACCGACTGAGCCACCCAGGCGCCCCGAAAATTAATATTTTTAAATTGCTTGCTTCATAGCAAATGATCTCAGAAGGCAGATCGTTGACCTAGTTTTATTGTGGGTATTTATATATTGACTTTGGTTTTCCACAAGTAATTTATTTCCTTCTTGGTTTTTAATTAGTCCATACCTTTATTTGCAAGTATAAATCATAAATCCTCACTTTTCAAGGTTAATAAGTAGATTTTGATAAAACTTTGAATTACTTGAAACACACCCTGTGTCTTGACATACCAAGACTACAGCTGATTATTTAATACTTTTTTTCTCTTAACATTTTCTAAAAGTACTTATTAAAAGTGTGAGGTACAGTTGACCCTTGAACAACGTAGGGGTTAGGGGCACCAATCCCCACACAGTTAAAAATTCGTGTACAACTTTTGACTGCCCAAAAACTTAACTACTAATAGCCTGCTCTTCATAGGAAGCTTCACAAATAACACAGTCCATTAACACATTTTGTATGTTGTATATATTACATCCTTTGTTCTTATAGTAATGCCTAACTTTTCTTAAATTCTTTTGATACATCAAGGCTACATTCATCTTGTTGTTGTCGTTAATGTTGATGTTATTTATTTTGAGAGAGCGAGCGGGGAAGGGACAGAGAATCCCAGGCAGGCTCCCCACCCAGCATGGAACCCAACACAGGGCTCAATCCCATGACCATGAGATCATGACCCAAGCTGATAACAAGAGTCAGATGCTCAACTGACCGAGCCACTGAGGTGCCCCTCATCTGTCTTTTCAAATTATCACAAATGTCCAAAATATTGTCCTACTTATTTATTAAAGATTTTTATTTTTAAGTGATCTCCACACCTAATGTAGGACTCAAACTCACAACCCTGAGATCAAGAGCATGCTTTACTGCCTGAGCCAGCCTGGTACCCGTCTAATATATATTTATTTTTACAAAATCCATGTATTGGTGAACCCACACCAGTCAAACACATGTTATTCAAGGGTCACCTATATTTGTGAAAGCTGCATATTTTGTAACTCAGTGTTGTATTTTGAGCACAGCATCAGGAATTTTGATAATTACCACCTTTAATTTCTCTTATGACCAGGACTGTTCTCACATTATTTTCAAAAGCATTTTGTTTCCTAAACATTTATTGAGTAATTTCTACATGTTGGCTACTTATGCTAGGCACAGGAGTTCAAAATAAATGACATTGATCTTCTCTTCAATGATTTCACAGTCTGTTGAACATCTTAAAATAGTACTTGATTTGTCTAAAAAAGGAGAGCCATTTATTACACATTCATAGAGTTGTCTGAGTAACTGAAGCTGATTCCTTAGAATTCTCAAAAATTTTTTAGGTTTATTTTTATTTATTTTGAGAGAGAATAGAGAGCAAGTGGGGGAGGGACAGAGAGAGGGAGAGAAAGAATCCCAAGCAGGCTCCTTGCTCTCAGCTCAGAGCCCAATGTGGGGCTTGAACTCCCAAACCATGAGATCACGACCTGAGCTGAAGTCAGACTCTTAACTGACTGAGCCATGCCACCCAGGCACCCCTAAAATTCTAAAAATTTCTAAATGACAATCTTTAAACAAAATGCTTGAACATCTTCCTGCATTCTTCTGAGTAAACTGAACCATCTTAATTTTTTTCATTGTGATTTGCATTTATCATATGAACATTCATTATTTTCATTTTTGTTAATCAGTGTCTCATGCTGCCGGCTATTATTTTTGTACCTGTTAATTGTGTACTGTTTCTTTAAATTTCCAACTCTCTTATAATTTATTACTAATTTGTTTGGGGCTACTTCTCCACATGTCCAGACTTTTTAGTTATTGCTATTTAAAGATCTGACTAATGCAGGGGCACCTGGGTAGCTCAGTTGGTTGGGCATCTGACTTCAGCTCAGGTCATGATCTTGCAGTCTGAGTTCAAGCCCCACGTCGGGCTCTGCACTGACAGCTCAGAGGCTGGAGCCTGCTTCAGATTCTGTCTCCATCTCTCTCTGCCCCTCCCCTGCTCTCACTGTGTCTCTCTCAAAAATAAAATTAAAACATTTTTAAAATTTTTTTAAAAATCTGACTAATGCAGCGCCTGGGTGGCTCAGTCAGTTAAGCCTCCGACTCTGCTCAGTTCCTGATCTCACTGTTCACGAGTTCTTGGGCTCTGTGCTGATAGCTCAGACCCTGGAGCCTGCTTCACATTCTGTGTCTCCCTCTCTCTCTCTCTCTGCCCTTCCCCTCTTTGCACTCTGTCTCTCTCAAAAATAAATAAAAACATTATAAAAAAAAAAAAAACAATCTGACTAATGGCCTTAGGGTGAATAGGTTGATATGGTAAATCTCAGATTATAGAACTTCATAAGCATTTTAGGTACACAAAAATAGATTCTGACTAAGGTATTTTCAGCTTCATTATTTTTGTTTTGTTTTGATTTTTTCTTTTTTTTTATTAATTTTTTTTTAAATTTACATCCAAATTAGTTAGCATATAGTGCAACAGTGATTTCAGGAGTAGATTCCTTAGTGCCCCTTCCCCATTTTGCCCATCCCCCCTCCCACAACTCCTCCAGCAACCCTCTGTATGTTCTCCATATTTAAGAGCCTCTTCTGTTATGTTCCCCTCCCTGTTTTTATATTATTTTTGCTTCCCTTCCCTTATGTTCATATGTTTTGTATCTTAAAGTCCTCATATGAGTGAAGTCATATGATATTTGTCCTTCTCTGACTGACAAATTTTGCTTAGCATAATACCCTCTAGTTCCATCTATGTAGTTGCAAATGGCAAGAGTTTATTCTTTTTGATTGCCGAGTAATACTTCATTGTGTATATATGCCACATCTCTTTATCCAACTAAATCCATATTGATGGACAGTTGGGCTCTTTCCATACTTTGGCTATTGTTGATAGTGTTGCTATAAACATTGGGGTGCACGTGTCCCTTTGAAACAGCACACCTGTATCCCTTGGATACATACCTGGTAGTGCAATTGCTGGGTCATAGGGTAGTTCTGTTTTCAGTTCAGAACCTCCATACTGTTGTTGTTTTCCAGGTGGCTGCACCAGCTTGCATTGCCACCAACTGTGCAAAGACGTCCTCTTTATCCGCATCCCTAAGCCAACATCAGTTGTTGCCTGAGTTGTTAATGTTAGCCATTCTACCCTGTTGGTGGTATCTCATTGTGGTTTTGATTTGTATTCCTGATGCTGAGTGATGTTGAGCATTTTTTCATGCGTCAGTTGGCCATCCAGATGTCTTCTCTGGAGGGCATTCATGTCTTTGCCATTTCTTCACTGGATTATTGTTTTTTTGGGTGTTGAGTTTGATAAGTTCCTTTATGAATTTTGGATACTAACCTTTATCTGCTGTGTTCGTTTGCAAATATCTTCTCCCATTCCATCAGTTGCCTTTTAGTTTTGCTGATTGTCTCCTTCGCTGTGCAGAAGCTTTTAATTTTGATGTCCCAGTAATTCATTCATTATCATTTTTTTAATGTTTATTTGTTTTGAGAGAGAGCAAGTGGGAGAGGGGTGGAGAGAGAGAGAATCTCAAGCAGGCTCCATGCTGTCAGCACAGAGTCCAGCGCAGGCTTGATCTCAGGAAGCTTGAGATCATGCCCTGAGCCAAAATCAAGAGCCAGATGTTCAACCAACTGAGCCACCCAGGTGCCCCAGCTTCATTATCATTTTAAGGATTTTATTGTAGTTTCAATCTGTTTAGTTTCTTTGAATATTGTATTGGTGGTCATACTTTTTAAATTTCAGTAAAAACTATCACAAAATGCAAAAGGCCATATTTTATATTTGTTCCATTTGTGTGAAATGTCCAGAAAGACAAATCTGTAGAAATAAAAAGTGGTTTACTGGTTGCCAGGGGTTGGAGGAAAGGGAAAATGGATAATGATAGCTGGTGGATATGGAGGTTTTTTGCGGGGGTTGGGTGGAGGTGATGCCGTATTCTGGAATTAGATAGTGACTGTGGTTGAACAACTTTGTAAGTATACTGAAAACCACTGAATTATACTCTTTAAAAGAATGGATCTTATGTGAATTATATCTCAAGTTTTAAAATCTAAATTAAAGCAAATTTTCTAATAGACCATTCAAACCATATTCTGAAGTGGTTTCTTTCTAAATCTATACTTTTACTTTTGTCTTTTATTCATTGGTTTAGATTTTGAGTCTCTCAGATGTAATTTGTTTATAGTGAAGGCATAATTTGTATTTTCCTTAGGGATAATATAAGTGCAGTTGTGCATTAAATGAAAATTTAGATAATCTACATTGTTTTTAAAGAAAAAACAAGTCTTCTTTACTTGAGATATTGATCTACTCTAACTGTAGGTATTAAGGAACAAACATGTGACCCCTAAATATCTAAAGAATTTTAAGGACTGTCATTTTAATAGGAAAGACCAGCAATACTTAAAACTCTAACAAACCAAACTCTATTAATTTATTTTGCATTTTTCTTCATTAAGCATAAATTATAATATCTTTTTAAAGTGTAGGGGCACCTGGGTGGCTCAGTCGGTTAAGCGGCTGACGTCGGCTCAGGTCATGATCTCGCGGTCCGTGAGTTTGAGCCCTGCGTCGGGCTCTGTGCTGACAGCTCAGAGCCTGGAGCCTGTTTCAGATTCAGTGTCTCCCTCTCTCTGACCCTCCCCTGTTCATGCTCTGTCTCTCCCTGTCTCAAAAATAAAAAAAAATAAAGTGTAAATTATATATTGCCTCATGAGTTTTGTTTTCATTACTTGTTTTATTTCATTTTGATTGTTTTTATATTTAATTTTCTGGTTTTGTGATTTGTTCTATGTAACGTTTTCAGTATTTAAAACTTTTAACAGCAACTTAATAAGTAATTTTTCATTCTGATGTTTGAAAATGAGTAATTCCTTTGGTCTGTAAGTTATTAAACACAGTTTTTATTTTTTTATTTTTAGGCTATGGAGTTACTAGTCGAGAAGGCGATCAGTAGTGCTTCTAGTCCTCAGAGCCCTGGAGATGCACTGAGAAGAGTTTTTGAGTGCATTTCTTCAGGGATTATTCTTAAAGGTAAGTTTTGGCTCATTTTTAATGTTTGTGCATTTGATAGTTGAATAATAACTCTTTCTTTTACAAATGGATAATGCTAATGCCTTTTTTTCTCTATGGTGATTGTAGGTAGTCCTGGACTTCTGGATCCTTGTGAGAAGGATCCATTTGATACCTTGGCAACAATGACTGACCAACAGCGTGAAGACATCACTTCCAGTGCACAGGTACCAGTGTATTCCTAATCCCAAAGTTTTGTTGGGTCACTGCCCTTAAGGTTTTTTGTGGTGTGTGTGTGTGTGTGTGTGTGTTTTAATGTTCATTTTATTTTTATTTTTGAGAGAGAAGGAGGGACAGAGAGGGAAAATCCCAAGCAGGCTTCGCACTGTTAGTGCTGCGCCCTATGCGGAGCTTGAACTAACTAACCATAAGATCATGACCTGAGCTGAAACCAGAGTCAGATGTTTAACTGACTGAGCCACCCAGGTGCCCCAAAGTTTTATCTTTTTTGTAATTGTCCTTTAGAAATCATTGTATAGTATTTTTTTTTCTTTTCAAGTTTTTAAATTCTAATTAGTTGGGGCGTCTGGGTGGCTCAGTCATTTTAGTACCCAGCTCTTCATTTCAGCTCAGGTCATGATCCCAGAGTCATGATATTGAGCCCCATGGCAGTATTAATGCTGAGTGTAGAGTCTGCTTAAGAGTCTCTCTCTCTCTCTCTCTCTCTCTCTCTCTCTCTCTCTCTCTCTCTCTCTCTCTGCCCCCGTCCCCTGCTCGCTCGCTCTCTCTCTCTCTCTCTCTCTCTCTCAAATTTAAAAAATAAGTAAATAAACACACACAGATAAATTCTAGTTAGTTACCATACAGTAAAATATTGGTTTCAGGAATAGAATTCAGTGATTCATGACTGACATATGACACCCAGTGCTCATCATAAGTGCCTTCCTAATACCCACCACCATCTACCACCCACCTTCCTCCATCAACGTTCAGTTTGTTATCTATCTTAGTCTTTTTATGTTTCGTTTTCCTCTCTTTTTTTTTTCCTCCCATATGTTCATCTTCTTCGTTTCTTAAATTCCACATATAAATGAAATCATATGGTATTTATCTTTCTCTGACTGACTCTAGCTCCATCCACATTGCAAATGGCAAGGTTTCATTCTTTTTTTTATACTTTAGAACTTTTTCCTTAATGTTTATTTTTGAGAGAGAGAGAGAGAGAAAGAGAAAGCTCACACACAGGAGCAGGGGAGGGGCAGAGAGAGAGAGAGAGCGCGAGCGCGCGCACCAGGATCCGAAGCAGGCTCCGCACATCCAGTTGAGGTTCGAACTCCGCAACCGTGAGATGACCTGAGCTGAAACAAGTGTCAGATGCTTAACTGACTGAGCCACCCAGGATCCCCAAAGATTTCATTCTCTTTGATTGCTGTGTGTGTGTGTGTGTGTGTGTGTGTAGTGTTTATATATACATAATGTGCATGTGTGGGTATTTATCAGTCAGTGGACATTTGAGCTTTCTCCATAGTTTGGCTTTTGGTTAATAATGATGCTGTGAACATCAGGGTGCCTGTACCCCTTCGAATTGTTTTTTGGTTGTTGTATCCTTTCTGTAAATACTTAGTAGTACAATTGCTGAGTTGTAAGGTAGTTCTATTTTTAAGTTTTGGGGAACCTCTATAGTTTTTCCAAGTGGCTGCACAAGTTTGTATTCCCACCAACAGTGTAAGAGGGTTCCCCTTTCTCCACATCCTCACCAACACCTGTTGTTTCTTGTGTTGTTAATTTTAGCCATTCTGACAGGTGTGAGGTGCTATCTTATTGTGGTTTTGATTTGTATTTCCCTGATGATGAGTGATGTTGAGTATCTTTTCATGTGTCAGTTAGTCAATAGGATGTCTTCTTTGGGATGTATAGTATTTTTTTGTGCTTCTTTTTTTTTTTTTTTAATTTTTTTTTTTTTCAACGTTTATTTATTTTTGGGACAGAGAGGAGACAGAGCATGAAAACGGGAGGGGCAGAGAGAGGAACACAGAGGGAATCGACAGGCTCCAGGCTCCGAACCATCAGCAGGAAGGAAAAGCCTGTAGCGGGGAGACTCGAACTCCACGGACATGAATGCGTGACCTGGCCTGGCAGCAATGAAGTGGACGCTTAACCGACTGCACCACCCAGGCGCCCCTTTTTTGTGCTTCTTTAGTAAGCCCTTGGAGGAGATATAATTTAAACTAGATTTCGGTAATATAATCTTAACTGCATTATTTTAACTATAATTTATATGTCTAAGTAAGTATATTATATAAATATAAAAATACCTCTGTATTTTCAGTGTCTTATTAAATCTGAATATTAGGTTATATATCATGATCAGTTTAGGAACTGTTTATGTCCTCTGGTTTTAAGAAGTGATGTGCTGTGTGGTTTTTGGTAGTTATTCCTATAGTTTAGCCTCCCCTGCCACTGGAAAGGCTGTCTAATGTAGTTAATTAAAAATGTAGTCTCTGGAGTCAAGACTCTCTAGGTTTGAATATAAGCTCTTCCATCTTATCTATAAAACAAAGACCAAAGCAGTATCTGTCTCAAGCAGGATTTGGGGGAGGATTAAATGAGTTAATGTGTATAACTATTAACTGTATCTGATATATGGAAGGATCATAATAAATGTTAGCTATTACCAGTTAACAGTTTTATTAGAAGAATTATGGAAAGGAAAAACTGTGTGAACCTAATGGAAAAAAAAAGTCTAAAACTCCTATAACTTTCCTTTTTTTTATTCCAAAATTGTAGTAAGGGGAGAAAAGGCAACTAGCTATGAACAGAAATACTTCACTCTAAGATATTAAGTTGTTGGGCTTAAGTTCTTGATTTGTTGTCTCTTCTGGCAAGGGTAATTTAGAATTTGAAAGATGTTAAGATTAAATTGTGTCAAAAGTATATTAAGGGGTAATTGGTAGTAATAGAACCTTATGATTATCTTACAGACTTTATACAATTACTAATTCGTGTGTATTAGACAAGTTTTGTTTTTATTTCTCTGGGTTTAATTTTTTTGGGATGAAGATGGTTACCCTAAGTGGCTTTCTTTCTTCCTTGGTACTTAAAGAAGGAATTACTTACAAATTCTAAGGGAAATGAAATTTACGGTTGGGAACAGGGCATTCGAAAACGAATAGAATTCACTTTTGAAAAGCACTTTTTTTGTTTAAACGTGACTTCGAAGAAAGTGGTCTGACTTTAGGAGGTAGTGACAGATGTCCTTGTTAATAGTGAAGGAGTTAATTGCATTATTCCATTTCTGTAACATTCATAAAATAACATAAATACAGAGATGGAGAACAGAGTAGTGTTTCCTAGGAGTTTGGGATGGGGGTAGGGATTGTTACAAGAAAGGGAGTCTTACAGTGATGGCACAGTTTAATATCTTTTTTTTTTAATGTTTGTTTATTTTTGAGAGACAGAGAGAGACAGAGCATGAGTGGGGAAGGAGCAGAGAGAGAGGGAGACACAGAATCTGATGCAGGCTCCAGGCTCTGAGATGTCGGCACAGAGCCCGACACAGGGCTCGAACTCACGAACCGCGAGATCATGACCTGAGCCAGAACCAAGAGTCCGACACTTAACTGACTGAGCCACCCAGGCGCCCCTAAAGTTTATTTTTTGAAAGAGAGCGTGCACAGTTGTGCACGTGAGCAGGGGAGGGACAGAGTGATTGAGGGAGAGAGAGAATCCCAAGCAGGCTCCACACTGACAGCACAGAGCCTGATGCAGGGCTCAAACTCAAGAACCATGACTGGCGCCAAAACCAAGAGTCAGACTCTTAATCGACTGAGCCACCTGGGCGCCCTATGGTAGAAATGTATTAATATTCATTATTGTATACCAGGTATCTTTGGATATTTTCTGTTAATACAGAAAAAAATTACTCTGTTTATCTTTCATAAGTCTCTCTCAGAGAATTTGTATTCTGTTATGGTAAATATTCCTAGTTCTGGCTTCAGAAAGTTGCCTTATAGCTTAAAGGAGATAGAGAAGCACCCACTACTGGTGAAAATCCAGAATTACAAACTAAATAGAATACCTTATCAAGTCCTTATGAACACAGATGATTTGGGGACTTTTAGGATTTCAAAAGCCAATATAATGTGGCACAAAGTTCTAAGGAACTGAAATTATATAATTGGGGAAAGTTTTAGAATAGTAAATTCTCACACAGATGACTATAACCAACAACTGTATCTCAGCTGAAGAAAATCAACAGGTATTAAAAATATTCTCAATAGCAGCCATTTGGAAAACAGACTCCGAGGTATATTCCCAAGACAACTGAAAACATGTCCACACAAAAACTTGTACAGGAATGTTCGTAGCAGCATTATGCATAATTGCTAAAAAGTGGAGACATCCCAAATGCCCATCAACTGGTAAATGAATAAACAAATACAGTATATATTCTGTACAGCGGAATATTATTTAGTCATTTAAAGGAATGAAGTACTGATACATGCTATAACATGGATTAACCTTAAAAACCTTATTCAGTGAAAGAAGTCAGACACAAAGCTATATAATGTAGGAGTCCATTTATATGAAATGTCCACAGTCTGCAAATCTTGTAGACATAGAAAAGCGGATTAGTGGTTGTCACTACCTAAGGGTGAAGGGGTTGAGGAATGACTGCCATTGAGTCATAGTTTTGCAGGGGGCGGGGGGGGGGGGGGGGGGGGGGGGGGGGAGTTGTGTGTGAAAATGTTCTGAAATCCGTGGTTATGGTTGAACAACTTTGTTAAGTATACTAAAAAACACTGTACATTTTAGAAGGGTGATTCTTAGGATATGTTAATTATATCTCAAAAAAATAGTCTGGGGTGCCTGGGTGACTCCGTCAGTTAAGCTTCCCACTCTTGGTTTCAGCTCAGCTCATGATCTCACGGTAGTGAGTTTAAGGTCCAAGTCGTCAGGTTCTGCACTGACAGCGCAGAATCTGCTTGAGATTCTCTGTCTCCCTCTCTCTCTGCCCCTTCCCTGTTCATGTGTGTTCGTTCTCTCTCTCTCTCTCTCTTTCTCTCTCTCTCTCTCTCTCTCTCTCTCTCTCTCTGTCTCTCTCAAAAATAAATAAATAAATGTAAAATTAAAAAAATAGTCTAAAGACGCCTGGGTGGCTTACCGTCAGTTAAGTGTCTGACTTCAGTTCAGGTCTTGATCTCATAGTTCATGAGTTTGAGCCCTGCATCAAACTCTCTGCTGTCAGCACAGAGCCATCTTCAGATCCTCTGTCTCCCTCCTTCTCTCCCTCCCCAACCTCAAAAATAAGTAAACATTTTAAAGAAGTAGTCTAAACAGTTACATTGAAGGTTATAACCATATAGTAAAATTTGCCATATAATCAGAAGATTACATCTTCTTGAATTAGTTTATTCCCAGAAATTTGAAGAATAGATTATGTTTTGTGAAATCTTGTGACATTGATGCCTAACATATGTATGCCTGTGCGTACATAACCATGTAATGAAATTTTTATTTTTAGTTCATGAAGTAACAAGTTAAAGAAATGGCCTTTTTGTAAACCTGAGGAAGTGTGTATATGTATATATGTGCAGCCTATACACATGGTCATCCACAGAAAAAATGGGAAAATACATGACTATAAACCAAACAGGGATTTACTGCATGAGTGAGAGACACTTTGTTTTGCTGTATATTGTTTCAAGGCTTTAAAAAAAAATTTTTTTTTTTTAATTTTTTTTTTCAACGTTTATTTATTTTTGGGACAGAGAGAGACAGAGCATGAACAGGGGAGGGGCAGAGAGAGGGAGACATAGAATCGGAAACAGGCTCCAGGCTCTGAGCCATCAGCCCAGAGCCTGACGCGGGGCTCGAACTCACGGACCGCGAGATCGTGACCTGGCTGAAGCTGGACGCTTAACCGACTGCGCCACCCAGGCGCCCCTAAAAAATTTTTTTAATGTTTGTTTATTTTTGAGAGAGAGAGAGAGAGAGAGAGAGGGAGACAGGGTACAATCAGGGGAGAGGCAGAGAGGGAGAGAGACACAGAATCTGAAGCAGGTTCCAGGCCTCGAGGTGTCAGCCCAGAGCCTGACATGGGGTTTGAACTCATAAACCCTGACGTCATGAACTAAGCTGAAGTTAGGTGCTCACCTGACTGAGCCACCCAGGTGCCCCTCAAGATTTTTTCAAATGAACATAATACTGAATTTTTTTTAAGATTTATTTTTTAATTTAGGTTTTAAAAAGCAAAATAGCATGTATACAGAAAAGTCTGAACATATAAAACAAGAACAGTATTTCACAGTATTTCAGTTGTGAAACTAATATTATTGAAGTTATTTCACCAAATATGCTTTTTTATATTGTTACATGGAGACCTAAACCTAGTTAAGAATGAATATTTTTGTCTTTAAAATTAACTCTGAATTTTGGCTCTTTTTGTTGCAGTTTGCATTGAGACTCCTTGCATTCCGCCAGATACACAAAGTTCTAGGCATGGATCCATTACCCCAAATGAGCCAACGTTTTAACATCCACAACAACAGGAAACGAAGAAGGGATAGCGATGGAGTCGATGGATTTGAAGCTGAGGGGAAAAAAGACAAAAAAGATTATGATAACTTTTAAAAAGTTTCTGTAAATCTGCAGTGTTAAAAACAACAGGTGCCCATTTGTTGGTTGTTTTTCATTCATAATAATGTCTACTTTGAAAAGTTTATCAAGAATTTAAAGAATTTCATGGAAGAACCAAGTTTTTCTGTGACATTAATATCTTAATGTACAGTGTTAGGTATTATATTGAATGGAAAGACACCCAAAAAAAAAATTGTGCTCCAACTAGGGGAAAAACAGTGGTTCAGATTTTTTCCCCATTATTTTGGTTTTATTTACTGGTTGCCCTAGCTCCCCCTATTTTTGTGTCTTTTATTAACTAGTCTTATTAAATCTTTACTGTATTTAATGCAGTATTTGTGCTTCAGTTGCTATGTGTATTTTGATATTTTTATTTAGTTTTGTTTGCTCTTTGACACTAGATGTTACTTTGTGTTATAGATGATATCCTTTGCCCTTCTTAATATTTTACAGCAGTACGTTTTTTTGTAACGTGGAACTGCAGAATTTTTTCTTTTTGTTTTATTCTGTATGTGACGGATTTCAACACAAAAAGTTATCCTGCCATTTAAGTGCTCAGAACTGAATGTTTCTGCAGATCTTGTGGCATTTGTCCCTCGTGTGATATATAAAGGTGTAATTAAGACAGATTTCTGTTAATCTAATCAAGTTTGCTGTTAGTTGTGCATTAGCAGTATAAAAGCTAATATATACTATATGGTCTTGCAACAGTTTTAAAGCCTCTGCATAATTGATAATAAAAATGCATGACATTTTTGTTTTTAATAGACTTTTAAAATTATAATTTTAGGTTTGACACGTAGATCTTTGTACAGTTGACTTTTTGACATAGCAAGGCCAAAAATAACTTTCTGAATATTTTTTTCTTCTGCATAAGTGGAAAGGGCATTTTTCATATATAAGTGGGCTAACCAATATTTTCAAAAGAACTTTATCATTGTGCAACTAACAACAGTAACTAGCCCTTAATTATGATGACAGTTCCTTATTGGTGTGTGTGAGATTACTCTAGCAAACTATTACAGTGTAACACAGTTGAATGATTCCTCCCCCTGCCCATCACCCACATAATTTACAGTTCTCTTAACAGTGAGGTTGATAAAGTATTACTGATAAAAAATTAAGGTTATCTAAGGAGAAAAACCAGAAAATTATTTGGTGTGGCCATCTTACATGCTTATGTGTCCTACAAAAAGCTAAATATTCTAGCAGTGGTGTAATGAGAAGTTACATCTTACTGTTGATGTATGTATGCTCTGGTACACAGATGTCATTTTGTTGTCACAGCACTACAGTGAAATACACAAATAAAAACTTAAATTCATATAATGACTTAAATGTATTATATGTTAGAATTGACTCATAAACTACTTTTGCTTTGAAATGACTTATGCTTCAGTAAAACCATATTCAAGTTTTTTGGGTACTTACATCTTGTTATGCTACCTGAGCACATAATTTCAGAAGAATTTATAATTCAGTAGTCTATTGGCTTAACTTCTTAATTTGGTCAGAATCTTTCCCTGGACCCTTAGAGAACCAGGAAACTGTAGGAGACGACTACCAGAGAACTAGAACGAGAAACTTGGGCTTTTTTACCAATTTTGTCACATACACTATGTAACATTGGCAAGCCTTTTTTTTTTTTTTTTTTTTTTTTTTTTTTTTTTTTAATGTTTCTGGGTCTCCTTTTACTCTTTTGAATAATTAGTTGCCCAGTAAAATTTTGGAATTTTGTTTTTCACAGTTCTCTTGAGAGAGAAGGCAAGAACTGACATTTTGTCACGCACTAATGACACAACATACCATGCTTGGTCATTTCCCGTTTTAACCTATCATAACGATAAGAATAAGTGACAGTGCTGTATTTCTTATTTTTCAGATGAGAACACTGAAGCCCAGAGTGGCTAACTAACAAAAGATCACAGATCCACTTATGTGACAGGATTGAAATTGAGTCAGGTTTCAGTAGGAGCTATAGTTAGCACCGTTTAAATTTTTTATGAAAATAAATGTTCCAGTACTACTTATTTTTTGCATGATGTAATGGTTTCATAGTTGTGGCTAGACCCACATTAACCATCTTGTGTGAAATAACTTGGATTTGTTAATATCTTCTGCTTTGACAATTTTTTAAAGAAAACTATAAACTTTAGTTAAAAGAGGCATTGGTTATCACCCTGATAATACATTCTGGAATCAGTTGTTTTGGTAACTAATTATTAGTTATTCTCTGCATCTCAGGCTGGCTTTCCCTGTTACTTTGTTACAGTAATTTAATGATGACCATAATAAAACAAATTGATTCCTCTCACCTACCTCCATTTAAATGATACACTCCAAATTAGAATTTTCTTTTTCTTCACCACTACTATTTCTTCTGTTTCTTTGGATAAGTTAGAATTGAAAATGCAGAACTGCATGAACAGCATAGCAAAAGATCTCTAGTTTTTATTGTTTTTTTCAATGTTTATTCATTTTTTGAGAGAAAGAGAGCGATTGGGGGAGGGACCAGGAGAGAGGGAAACACAGAATCTGAAGCAAGCTCCAGGCTCCAAGCTGTCAGCACAGAGCCTGATGCAGGGCTCAAACTCCTGAATGGTGAGATCATGACCTGAGCCAAAGTCAGATACTCAACCGACTGAGACACCCAGGCACCCCCAGATCTCTGGTAAGTCAAGAGTATTTTAAGTAATTTTTTCCTGCTTGTTAACAAAAACATGAATAAAGATTTTTCCCAATAAAGGGCAAATTTTATAGTGTCCTAGAAAGATAATGTTCATAGCATTGGTCTCAAATTTGACTATTCCATGAGAGTTGTCTGGAGAACATTCTAAAAAGATTGAGGAGGGCCAGAATAAGCCTAATTAGGAATGTGCTCTTCTCTCTCCTCTCCCTTCTCTTCTCTCTCCTCTCCTCTCTCCTCCTCTCCTCTCCTCTCTCCTCCTCTCCTCTCTCCCTCTCCCTCTCCCTTTCCCTCCCTCTC